TAAAATAAGCACTTCGTTATAAGTTACCAACGCTAATACCAAAGTTAATTCAGGAGAAACAACTCATTGCAATTGATTAAATGAATTTATCATAGATCAATTATTTTCATTTCACAAAATGTTATCACCTTGATGTTTTTTCAATAATAATAAAAATAATTAAATTAACCCTTACTCGTGGCGCCATCATATAAGGACGTGCTGTATAAGTGCTCAGTGTATCTAAATTTGAAGAATTTCATCGCTTGTGAACATTATTCTTATATTGTCATAACGATAGATTCTATTTCTATCGAATATTTCGAAAATATTTTGTATAACTAATAAATCATAATTTAATTGAAGGAACTATTTTCCAAAGCCATGATTTTTTTCAGGGAAAATTAATTCGTGACCGAAAGAATGAAGTATATTCAAGTATATAAGTGTATAAGAATTATGTATATTCAATATTTCGAACCGTAATTATTAATGACTAGGACATGCCATAAATATTATTTAATTAGTGTGCCAAATGGATATGTTCAGGTTTTAATTAACTTGTACTACATACATAAATGTAAATTCTTATTGTTTTGCCTGGAAGTAGAAATGTTACCCTTTCGGAAAAACGTATTTAATTAGATATTCACATTGTTTCAATATAAAGGAAATTCTAAATGACTTTCTTAATCGTTTGTCGACTGGAACATTTACAAGGGTATAAAAGATCGTTAGCGATCAATATATAATTACCAAACTACACGAGATAGTAGGGTCATTCCACGCCAAAACGATCACTTTTGGAAGTCACCATCTCCGATTTCACTCTAATCGAATATGCTGTAGTCCGTGTGAAATTAGGGGGGGTTTAAGTCATCATTTTGCAGGTTTCGAATTTGTTATTGAATGACAAGCCGTCAAAGTTTGCAATTTTTGCCCATTTTGGCGAAAATGGGGTCCACTTGGGGTGTTTTTTCTCAGAAACTACTGAACCGATTTAGCTAAATTTTTTTTTGTTTTATTCATGAAGGATTGGGCTATTTTAAAATATTTTTTTTAACTTTGTCAATTTGATATAAAATGTTGCAAAATTTAAACAAATTCTTTTATTGCGTTTTTCTCAATGAGGGGCGTAAAGGGTTAAAATTAAAAAAAAAATATGTTCATATTCTTTGAAGCTTCCCCTTTAAAATGAGCCGTTCAGAACGATGGAGCCTCGAAAATTGACATCTCTACAAGCTGGAAAAGGACGCGGGGTACCCCGATTTTAGGTAGGTGAGTCGTGTGCTCTGCTATTATGATCGGTTTTTATATCCACCGTTCAAAATTGTTTGAACAAAGGAATTAATAAAATATGTGATCAATGTTTCCATAGACATTTTTTGCATACAATGAATGCTGTCATCAGATTTTAAAAAATTTCATTTTTAAGCTATATTGTTCAAATCATTTTGTTATAAACAATATACAATATGTTCTTAACACGCTTGATTCACCTTACACACTTAATAATGAATGTCAGAAATTGTATTATATTTAGAAAATCGCATGTCACAGATACAGTCTATTTAAGTAGGTTTTCGAGATTTCGTCCGCCATAATGGATCCGTTATATTGAATTTTGATTTCAGATTTCCATTCAGTAACGTAAAAAACCGATATATTAAAAAGATCGAACAGTTAAGAGATACAGTTTTGCAAGGTGTTTCATGCGTAGTGCCGAACGAGCGCGGTAATTTAGGAGTTATTTACGTCCCAAATATTTGTGTAACAAAAAAAAAAAAAATAAAATACGTGTACCCTAATTAACTTTCCTCTTGAAGTTTTAATAGATTTTATTTCGATCAGATCAAAACCGATTTTTTTACAGCAAGAAATTGGTCGCTTTGGGGTATTTCACCCCCTAATTTTCACTCCCCTTCCAACATACCTAGGCCAATTTTTGCCTTCTATCGAAAGATATTTTCATACCAAAAATCATCAATATTGCTCCACTGATCTCGAAAATATCGCAATTTTTCCATTTTAC